AGTAGTCCCTCTGTAAATTGGTCGATCACCGAAAAAGCAAGAATCTCTAGAGTACTTTCCATACAGAATCACAGCACTTTTCCCCCTACATATCTTAGCGAAAGAGACGATTACTAATACCTTAAGTGAGTACGGGAAAGACTTTTCTTCGGAGCAACTTCTTGTAACATGTCGTTAATATTGTAATTCAACAAAAAACTGAAACCATTTTATTATGACTTGCAAAACCATATTAAAAGAAACGTTTGGCGCACGTTCCTTTGGAAGCTTCGCCGTTAACATCAAGTTTTTGGACAACGAATATCCGAGGGTTACCGAAGATTGAAAGGAGGCCGATAATTTTCAATGAGTACCTTTTATGTTATTCTAATTAGGACTTTTCACGTGAACATGCATTTTAAAAAGACTGAGTAGTGAGACACACCTGAGAAGAAGGAGAAGACATTCCTTCGAGTCTGCGGCGCTTCGCCTCTGAGAAAAAAGTAGAATTAAACAATTATCTACTGCATTACTCAGGCAGTCACCTCTATTGATGTACCTCAATATACGAAAGATGGAAATACGCAACTAAATTGCTTGAAAAGATGGCTCAAGATTTCTGAGAGTTCTCCAGTGAAATTACTTCTAAGAAAGACAAATCTTTGAAAGCAAACAGAATTTCGGATTCGGTCTCGTAACGCAAGACTCGAATTCGGATTCAGTTTTGCGAGCAAGATGCAGTATTTGAGTGATTTGAGTGTTATTTAAACTTGTTTTACTGACTGAATAAAGCCTAGCTGGAATACTGAAGAAAACGAGGAAGAGGAGACCAGAACAAGAAGTGAAAGCCCGAGAACAAACATGAACATAACAAAAACGCTTTTTCAGTTCAAGGTTATTACTCTAGCCAATCAGGAAACGCAAAAATACCAGTAAACCAATCAGAAATTGAATCCAGATCTGTTTCAAGAAACTTGAAGTCAAGGGCGGGAAAACGCCTACCGGCCGCGAGACATGATTGGTTTTGGTCTCACTCATGATTGGCGCGAAATCTTCTATCGCAATCACACGTCTGGTGACACTAAACAACCGCTTAATGCAGCTTTAAGAGCAGTACCTTTCTCGTATTCGCCATCTTTGGGTGACTCGGGCACTGAAGGCGAAGAATGTTTACTTTTACTGCCAGACCTTTCTCTGTCCTTCTCCTTGACTCGCTCTTTTACTTTATCCTTCACTTCTTTCTCCTTGCTTTTACTTCGCTCCTTCTCTTTGCCCTTCGTTTTCGGTTCTTTTACTTTCTCTGCTTTTTCGCTCTTTACCTTTTCCTTGGGTTTGTCGTTCTGTTCCTTGTCTTTCTCCTTTTCTTTATTCTTTTGTTTACTGTGAAATATTTTAAGAGAAATGCAAAGAAAAAAGCGGTTTACTCCATTTGTTTATTCTCTTGATGAAAAAGAGAGATATTTGCATGGTAAGGCTGTGATTGAAAACGTTACATTCCAGGAAAAATAATCTTCTTTTCCAACTTTTTATCGTTTACGGCTAGGGCAATAGCAGAGAATTCACGTGTGTTACATCAGCACGTGCAATGTTTTGCAGTCGATAGCCAAGACAAAAGCATCTTCAAATGCTNCTTTACCTTTTCCTTGGGTTTGTCGTTCTGTTCCTTGTCTTTCTCCTTTTCTTTATTCTTTTGTTTACTGTGAAATATTTTAAGAGAAATGCAAAGAAAAAAGCGGTTTACTCCATTTGTTTATTCTCTTGTTGAAAAAGAGAGATATTTGCATGGTAAGGCTTAATCTTCATTGGTGTGACTGAAAACGTTACATTCGAGGAAAAAGAATCTTTTTTTCCTAATTTTTATCGTTTACGGCTAGGGCAATAGCAGAAAATTCACGTGTGTTACATCAGCACGTGCAATGTCTAACAAGTGTGGTTGCGGGTTTCGCAGTCGATAGCCAAGACAAGAAAAAAGCATTTTCAAATTCTCTTTGCTATTACAATACATGACTCACACACCTACTGTCCGATTTTTTGCTGATAGAAACATCATTTCCATTGGTGGTCCCTTCTGTTTTGACGTTCGTTGGAGTTTTTGTCCCCTTAGAGGTCGCATTAGTTGCGGACGTCCTAGACGCCTGCTGGCTGGAGCTACCGCTTGTGTTTAAAGATCTGAAATGACATCAAAATGAGATTTGATATCATCGTTTATTCGAGTTTAAGACGTTTAATAGACTCTCAGAAGGAAAGCGCAAAGAAAGGATGCTGTTTAGAGGGTAAATAAGATGCCATTTAACAAACTGAGTTTTCCCGTTTTTGTTTAATAAAACCATCTTACTTGTTCCCAGATGCGTTCCTGCTAGGTGACTCAGCGTTCGCACCTGACCGTGAAGAGGATGTGCCGCTAGGGGTACTGGTGCCTGATGGTTTGTTACCGGATGACCCTGTACTGGATTTGCCAGCGGTCTTTTCCTGAGACGAAGAAACACCTTCGCTCTTGGTCGCGCTAGGACTGGAAAAGAAGAATGGTTGGTTACCCTCAAAGTGAAAGGAATTTTTGTCACCTGGGAAAGCCACGTTTTAACCAAGACAATAGAGAGATTTTAAGTCACGTTTACGCCAAACAGAAAACGTTCATTTGTACCACGCGACCAAGTTTTGCCTCAAGTGCCCTTTACTGTTTATTACTTCCACCCAAAAATGAGTAGTTTCACGCTAGTTCTATTCATGAGAATTGTTCTGGACAGTCTTTAACTCCTTAACTTCTACTACGAGAAATTTTCAACTTGAATCTTACGTTAGCCGTAAACGTGACTCTAAATCTCTCTAATATTAGCCTAAGAAAACAGCCTACATTAAGCGACGCCACCTCTGGTTTCCTCGCGAAATGACGTCTGAGAAACGAGCGCAGAAATTCCATACTGATAACGCGTCACTTCCCAGATCTGGCAAGTGCTTCTGATTGGTTAAAGCAAATTTCCCACGCGGCACGACCAATCAGAAGCACTACCCAGATCTGGGTACAGATAGTGACGCCTCATCAGTATGGAATTTCTGCACTCGTTTCTCAGACGTCATTTCGCGGGAAAACCAGTGGTGGGGTCGCCAACTGTCGGCTGTTTTCTCAGGCTAAGACAGTACAATACATACCTGGAGGATTTTGAACCATCCTGCTCTTTCTTGATTGTCACTAAAAATACAAGGTAATAAATCATTTATCCCACGTTCTAACACAGCAATAAAGCTTTCTTCAGTTGTGCCTTCCTGGCCCTGCCAGCAGAGCTTTTCTTGCGCTTGCTCAATTTCGGCGTACTCGAGAACGACTCTGCTTGAATCTATAACGCAGAGGCCATGGGTTCGAATCCCGTTGAAGTCCCGAATTTTTGGGGGGTTAATTTACAATTGCTTAAATTGCAATTACCAACTGGACGAACATATCTTCGTTTAAATTTGTATTTCCGCAGTTCACATCATCTTCATTCTATATTAAGATCTTTGTTAAGCATGCGCTGCTTGTTGCTAAGATACAGTTTCGGACCCAGGCTTTCCTCGCAGGGTGTGCCTTCCGAGACATTACACCAATCTAAATTACTCTAACTTGTTTTCAATGACAACTCAAGCAAACAAAATCTTCAAACCTGCTGCCTTGGGTTTCACATCCGAATCATTCTTCACACTCTCTACAAAAATAAAAATTAAACATGATTTTGGTTTGCAAACTCGTAGACCATTAAGTAATCTGATTACACAAAATAATGTGTCGAGAACTTTCTCATATGATTTTGTTGTATTCCACTTCTGTTTTGTTACACTGACTGTTTCATACAGTGGTAATGTTGTTTAGTTGTGCGAAGAGTGTGGTCTTCTTTCAATCTTATTTTACACGTGCTTAAAATTCTGCCAACTCTTGGGGAAGTTTATCCAAAATTCTAGACTTTTCTACTGAAATACTTACAATATTAAACTAACTTACTTGTAGACTCCGTGTTTACTGAAGAATTTGGCTGTGCTTCCTAAAACAAAGGATTAAACATTACAATTTGATTGACAATCTAAGTATAGCATGTTCGTTCTCACTAATTAATAGCCTCTTTTTCACCCAAGACAATACACAAAAACATAAGTTTTAGTAAGCCCACTTAAGTCACGACAATGATAGCCTTTTGCAGGCGTTTTAACTTTAGATAGTGGGACAGCGGAAAGGAAAGTTAGAAGGAAAAAACTGCGCTTTTTTCCACTCCGCTCTCTACTTCGCGTCACCCTCCACTATCTGAATGCGAAACTTATTTTGATCAGCATTGCCATACATAATTTTTGAAATGTAATGCCATCACATCGCAACCACCCCAAAAAATGACGAAAAATAAACGGCGCGAATTTCGTCTTAAAACTCACCGTTTTTTCTTGTTTAACAGCGACAGAATCAGTTTGGCTTGAAGGTGGAGGAGCAGTTGCAGGGGGCTGGCAAAAAAATCAACATTTTAACAAATGAACCCAACAAGAATTCATTTTCAAATCTGTTTGAGGGGAACAACAAAGAGTAAAGTAACCCGGCCATTTGATAGCGTTCTTTTTCAGTTTACTTATGTGTTGGACTCTAAGACTAGCCCGGCTTCCACTCTTCAAAAGTGACCAAATTGAAAAAACAACCAGGAAAAATTTCCATATTTTTTTCTGTACAATACTAAAAGACAAATGGTTTCATGTGAACGAACTGCTGACGAGGTTTCATTTGAATGGTCATACCATAGGATTTCATACACAAACTCAAAAGTTGAAACCACAGACAAAACAAGTAGTACCATGTGAAAATACTGCTGAAGAGGTTTCATTTGGATGGTAACACCAGAGGATTTCATCCACAGACTCAAAAGTTAGAACTTTGTACAAAACAAATAGTACCATGTGCAAGTACTGCTGAAGAGGCTTCATTTGAATGGTCACACCATAGGATTTCATCCACAGTCAGACTCAAAAGTTACAAAAACATTACAAGTCGCCACGCGCGTAAAAAAGTTCATTTGCGACAATGAATGATTCAATACCTTTTCTTTATGGTGAAAGTCACTCTCAACGACCATCTCACGCTTTTTCGCTTTCAAACGACCCGCATACCTAAAATTAAACAAGAATAAATCAAGCTTAAGATTTTTTTTTAACTTCACCGTAGCTGAAATTACACGTAGATTCCGAAAAAAAAGCGGTCACACTCAATTTTATCCCGCGCTCTCGGCTGCGTGCGGTGGGTCTTTTACGCGGGAAAATTTGCCAAAGTCAAAGCCACTCTACTGATTGGTTAGCATCTTGTTAGCTGTCATGCTCGCATCCTTTAAACATTTTGACGTTACCATGGATACTTCCTTCATAAATTTTATTTTCCCCGGCTAATAGGCTTTACCCCTAGGGAAAGGGTCATATTAAGCACAAACAATTGTCTACATGTGTGACTTTTCTTACCCCACAGCGAGAGTATAAATATCCTGCCGCTTCTCTTTCTCCTCTTCACAGATTTTGTCGATTCTTCTTTCCAAAGCTTGCCCGAGATTTAAAACTTTTGGATAAAACGGTAAAATCTGCAAATAGAACGAAATTAAAAATAAACAACCAGAACAAGTGCCCTTTGAAAAAACGTCGCGCATCTAAGTAGCAAAAATAGCTTTCTTAAAGCAACCTGCTAACAGCGCACGCACCACCTTGTGTTTATTTTTTCGCCCTTTGCATTTTTGCAGAAGATAGGACACACCAACTCTGAAACTAAATAGTGTAATGTAAACGGGACGGATAAGTTAACTGACACGGGCTAGTTTGCACTAAAAAAAGTGTGAACCGGATTTTCACGACGACTTTTTCCTTCACTCCAGGGCATGGAAAGACGAGAGAGCGTTAGCGTACGCTTTTCAAAATTTGAACGTACGAGACAAGCTAAAAACATGGCTAGAGACATACCTTCGTTAACACCATAATTGTATTTCGGATCTGAGTATAATCCTTTGATTCCAGGCACACTACAAGAGCCTACGACAACGACAAAAAATACACATTATAATAAAATATTTTCTGATCTATCGGTGTCATTAAAAACAAAGATTGAACGATCAGTCGGTATCGCCATTATCATCTGGTGACTACATTATGGGGGAGTCTGGTTGTTGTTATTGTTAAAAAAAGGGCGGACTGTTCCCTTAATTGGCTTTGTTGAAAATGGAGGGTTACCTTAGTAAGTTTGTACTGCCACTTGTGACAGACATGCCGGTAATTCTCGTAGTCTAAATGGTCTGCTTTATCGTTGTTTGTGGCCCTCAAAACGGTCACAAATCCGGGGTAACTACCACATTCCTGTTAAAAAAAAAATAATAATAAAAAGCAGTGTTTAGAAGATTAGCTATAAACGGCCATATTTAAATTCATTGCTGGTATGTGTATGCAAAATGTATATTTTAATCATTTACTTATGTAAGTTTGAATGTCACAATTCCAAGAAACGACATTTTCAGAAAATGTTACATGTGGCTAAATACTGCTTAGCTTTCAATTAACTTCCATTTTTTACATTTTAGTAAAATACTAACTTTACGACGAAAGTACGAGTAAAAAGATAACAGCAAGACGATTACCTAGTAAATTAAAAAAAATGAATTGAAAAAGCAGTTACAGATGTAGCTAAAGTTTGATCCAGTTTTTTCTTTTTACATCGTGTTCTTTGTTTAGCTCTGAAGTTTCAAAACCTTGACAGCTATTAACCAGATAAGGTTGTTTAAAACTGAGTATCAGGGCCTCCTTAGGGGTTAGGAGAGAGGTGATTTTAGTGGGCGGAAGGGGGGAGGGGTGGAGAGAGAAAGGGTTCCCCCCCGCCTCGCTATCTTCCCTTTTCGCTTCTCTCTTCGCCCTTTTACCACAGAAACGCCTGACACTCAAGTTACGCGGTTTTATTTCTTTTTGTCGCGTTACTTACCTTCTCGTAAGTCTTCTTATCGCCATGCCATCTCATCACGATCTCAAGCATCGAACACAGAAAGCGACCTACAAAGTGAACGGAAACAAGAAATCAAGAGGTCACTCTGTCAAGACCTTGAGTGTTCCCCTGGAAACACAATCACTGATGCAAAACACAGCTTACCATATCTACTGGCTTCGTTTTCTGTACAGCTTGCTACTGTGTAGGAAATGTCTGAAAATACCTTGTGACACATAACAAACATGTTAATTTACATTTATGAAGACATGGGGGATTTGCAAGTGAAGTCCAAAGTTGTTTTCTTTCTCTTTGATCAGTGAACGTACAGTGTACTGTGCATTTCAGCTCCAACACGTCATGAATTACGGTTACGTAACTACGACTGTGTTTCTGCGTCTTTACTAATCATGATTCGTTAGATTTAATAATAACTTACTTGGTGTTTTTCTACCTTACCAAACTAGCATTTTGAGTTTTCTTTCAAAACCAAGACTTTGTGCGTTGCAAAATACCCATATTAACTCACAATATTGTCAAGTCTATAGCTTCTAAAAAGTATGCCTCTACCAGGAAGGTTAATTGGTCATCAAGTATGATTGGTTGATTAAATGATTGATTAAACAATTAATCTACTTGATCAACCAATCCAGAAGGTCTGCGAAAACTAATGAGCATTGGTAACGCTTGGTTCTGTTCAGGAGAATATTAGAGACCTTTATATTTTAAGACGACGCAAACTACTGACGAGATTTTCTCAATACCAAGTAGTGCACGCGCGTGAAGCAGCACCATTTTGGCGGGAAAATGTGGTGGCCGTCATCTACTATGAGTTTTAGCGAGAATGTCGTAGTGGCGGAAACTAGTTATCAAATGTTAGAAGTTAAATCATTTTGAGATCGGGAGAGGGTGTAACCTCCTTCAGTAAAACGAACCGTATAAGCTTTTCTGTTGAAAAATTGAAGTCAAATGAAGCTTTCCAAGGAGTATATTTTTTAGAATACGCGAAAAAACTTTAAGTTTAATCGCCGGCCTCGTCCTCGAATCTAACAGTCTCTATTATTTTGCAAGGAAATTTTAGTCGCCATATGACTTACTCGATCAAAGCAGAGAAGCGTTGAGAAGTTTGGTGTTTTAAGGTTGTGCAGCATGTGAACAAATTTTGCGCAGTATACAGCATCGCTGGCTGTAAACACACATCTGGGAAACATACAAAGCTGAAGAAACTGTGTGATGGTTTCACTTTTGGTCGCTTCTGAAACACAAAAATTAACAAACAAATCACATTAAGCAACTTTCCAGTCCAGAAACTACAAAGGGAATCAGGGGTACAAGCTTCAGCCGCAACGATTTCTGGGATAGTTTGGGTGAGTGCTTACTTTAATATGGGACGGCAACTATTAGAGCGCGGGCGCTTATCCAAGGAAATCTGACGGTATGAACAACTTACTCGCTGGAAGCCACGAGTCTCTCTCATGCTTCAATGACGCCATTACTCTCTGGTTATGTTCCTCTTGTTGTTTTAATTCCTCTTTCAATTTTTCACATAAAAGAGAACATCTTTCTTTCTCCTTCTTCTTTTTGCTTACAGGCTGAAAAACAAAATGATTGCAACAAAAAGAAACTTGGTTTAGTTGCTATGGGAATTTTCCAAAATTTAAAATGTTATTGACAGTGATTGTTTCAGTATAATAATTGTTTTATATGTATTCAACTACCTTGAGGTCGTTTCGTCCGAAAATCGATTCGCACAAAGTTGTTTCGCCCGGACGTCGATTCGCCCGATGGCAAACAACAGTCTGCAACAAGGCTTATCAAAAAAGGTCCAGCGATCTCGATAATCACATTCGAGATACTAAAAGAGTGTACATAGGTAGCCCTGTACATAAAGTCTACATTTACCGCAGCGATCGTGTCGATCTTTTATAATTTGTGTGAAGTTTTCACCGGAGAAAGTTGATCCACATGCGCAGTCATTGTCTTTTCAAGCACTTTTTTCAGGCTTTGAGAACAACAGGGCGAATCTACTTACGTATGGGCGAAACAACTTCGGGTGAACCGACTTTCGGGCGAAACGATCTGTTACCATAACATACCATGTCCTTATTATCATCCAGCTGTGTCAACTGTTGTTTTAATTTCGTCAGTTCTTGTTCATATCTTTCCAGTGGGACATAAAGATCGTACATGGACAACGCCCAGAAGGTTACGTACAACTGAGGACTAAAAACGGACAAAAAACGTATGAATTTCTACCGATAACACTCATTGGTTGGTCATAATGACAAAAATGACAACAAAGCCACACAAAACACTAGTTTCATGGATGAAAACGGAAACAAACAAACAAGAAACCTTCCGTGTCATCTGCACCTTATGCTGTTCCAGATTTTGGGTGCCATAATCGTCCTAGCACTCTGGAATACTGGCTCCATGACTAAAATCACTGCATCAATGTAGGACTGCAAGATTTGCTGAAAGCAATAAAATGAAGGAATGTGAGTTACATCAGAGCGAGCGAATACGCGAGCGCGCGTGAAAATTTCCACACGCGAGGAAAGTGACGCGGAGGGAAGAGAGGATTTTTTGTAGAGTCAGACTAGGAGTAGTCTCTCAATTTCATCGGGGCGAGCGAATACGCAAGCACGCGTGAAAATCGCCACCCGCGAGGAAGGTGGAGGGAAGACTTACCTTCTGTTGGAGTGGTTTTCCTTTAGCAGCAATGGCCTTCTTGGCTTCCTCGTACTTTGTCTGGAATGAAAATAAACACAACAATTAAACAAAAACACCAGGGAGAACAGGATACAGACCGACGAGAAAGAGAGCGAAGGGGATTAAAAATAAAACAAATTTCAATGCTCCAAGGTATGGACAGTGTTTTCCAATGGCAACAAGAAAAATTACTGCAAAGTTCCGGTGGGTGAAATCCAAACTTTTGGATTATAGTTATTTTGGGATGTTGACAATGACTTCCCGTTTAATGAGCTGCTTTTTCATCTTTATCTTTCAAGGAGTTTGAAAAGAAACCAGCCCGCTTTTTGGACAGGCTCTCGACTAGCCTGAAAAATCCGCCAACATTTCGCGACGTCACTGCTCGTTTCCCAGTGAAATGACGTAAGAGAAACGAGCGTAGAAATAATTATTCCATTCTGATGACGCGTCACTATCCCGGTTCTGGGTAGTGACGCGTAATCAATGTGAAATTTCTGCACTTTTTTCTCAGACGTTATTTCGCGGGGAAACCAGAGGTGGCGTCGAGCAATGTCGGCTGTTTTCTCAGGCTAGCGCCCGCCCTCCAAGACGGAATATAGCCAGTGAATTTACTACTTCTAAGTAAAAAAATTCTCACCAGCAAAGCTTTGCTATTGGACTAAAGAAAATAAAGTTGAAGCCGTGTGTACTGATAGTCTGATGAAAGTAACGTAAGAACAAACCTCAATCTGATGGACAAACATGGGCCTTGAAAGAAAAAAAGCTGCATCGGGGGTCAAGTGACAAGACTGTCCCAGGACATCCAGAGAGGGAATGTGTGAATCATACTCTTCAGCTGTTAGCTGAGAAGCGAGGAATCCTCCAAACTGTACAAGGGTATCTTGGCACTGCAGAAAAAGGAAGCAAGTTGCTGTGATTATGAACGATCCTTAGAACAGTTTTCAGGGAGCTGGGGGTTTTCAAACTCATCAGCGTGTGAAGAAAGTGGAAAATGGACACCTAGAGTTGATCTCTGCCTCTCTTTACTCCCTTTATTTGACTCTCTATAAGACAGACACCTCTGTAAAATGGACACCTAGAGTTGGTCCTTGCCTTTCTTTACTCCCTTTATTTGACTCTCTATAAGACGGACACCTCTGTAAAATGGACACCTAGAGTTGATCCCTGCCTTTCTTTACTCCCTTTATTTGACTCTCTATAAGATGGGCACTTAATGCCGGTCCCAAAGATGTCCATCTTAGAGTTGACTGCAGTAAAGTTAGTTAGGGAATTCAAATAACACAAGAACTGTTATCAATCCTGCTCAGTAAAAAGTATTGAGGGGTGGGGGGCTTTTTAAAATGACTTTTGGGATAGATCAAATGTCTGAAGTCGCTGGGCCGAGATAGCCTTCATGTCAACAACCAAGCTTATGAGCTCCCATTCGCTTTCACTGATTATTATAAATTCTCCTACTTTCCAAGAACAATAATAGAGCAGAACGTTTTGCCAAATGAGACAGTAAAAGCCTCTTCTTCGATGGCATTTACAAACTGCCTTTGATTTAATTTATAATAATATTTATCACTTTTATATATTTATTTATATATATAACAAGTGCTGGCCAATTTACAACAACCATCAACATTTTTTTATTATTGTGATGGAGGCAAATAAACAGTAGATGGTAGATGGTAGCTACAGGTTGCCCGAATGGCAAGCTGTTTAACTGACGTTCTTTACGTTCTTTATGCTCATTGATACTTCATAAAGAAAATGCAAAGGACATGACTGCTTCATGAGTGTTTGGAAATCAGGTAGAAAAGAAAATATGGTACTTCAGTGATATAGAAAACACGGCATGTGCATACCTGATCATAAAGCTTTCCTACAAGCTTCAAATGTCTGTCAGCATTTTCATAAAACACAATGCCATTTCGCTGTTGCGCCATTAACAAGCAGAGGGGTAGGTCCAGCTTTCCTTCTAGCAGTGTGTCACGCAGCCTCTGTGAAGACTTTTTCGTGTTTCTAATCTGTCCAAAATATCCACCCTACAAAGGGATAAATGAGCAATTACAGTGATTGAAAAGCTGCTTCGAAGATAGCCTTTAGTACAGAACAAATGCCAGATTCTCCTTATAAATTGCCTTCTGTTTGCTTTAACCAAGTCAGGAGATTCTCAAATAAGCCCCACATCTCTAATAAGCTCTCCCTTATCAGGCAAAGAAGTTAATAAGCCCCCCCCCCCTCCCCCTCCCACTTATTATTGTTATCACGATTGTAAAACTTTGTGTGGACTGATCTAGGTTTGTTTTGATGGTTATTCACCGGGTGGAAGTACGGATTTGTCTTTTTTTATCCTTCGCTGCATGACCTCCAACTTCTTGTACTTGAGCTTTTCCGCTTTGCATTCTAGTTCTTTCTGGAGAATTGATACCAAGGATTTTGCTAAATTAAATAAGCCCCCTCTTGAATAAGCCCCTGGTCTCTATTAAGCCCCCCTCAAATGTGTTGGAAATAAATAAGCCCCTGGAGGGGTGCTTAATAGAGGATTTACAGTACTGCCTCGTGGCTCGGTGACAATATGGATATGGCTGTCCCACATCCATCCAGAGATATCAAAATAACATCTTTAATTAGCACTTTCAGCTAAATACATTGAGACTCAAAAAAGTGCATTTATTTTTGTATGTAAGGTACTTTAACATTAGACTGAACGACATTTAAGGCATTTCATACATTCTCCTTTTCTTTGTTAAACAAAAAACCACGGAATTTGTGGAGATAAGTTGAAATCAAATTCAGTCAATCAACTTTAATAAACGAAGATTAATTTGTTTAATTACCTCAGCCCTGAGTAACTCTCCTCCTGAGAGAGCCTCTAGCTGAGCGGCTGTTACTTCTTCTGAAATCTCAATCCCCGACATTTTCTGCACCACCTCTTTTAGTACCAGCAAATCAAAACTCTTCCCTGCCTTGAGTTGATTGGCGACATACTGCAGGAGACCTGTCAGTTCGATGGAGTACTTGCGGAAAACAGTGCCACAAAATACTGCTAAACCTGGCGGACAATGTGCAGATAAGTAATAAGTGGAGGTAGAATAAAAGCTTGAAATTCTCCATAATGGCTTCAAACTCTTTGGTGTTAAGAACCATTAAACAGGGCTGTTGCCAAGGGCAGAGAGCCAGGGATTTTCACCGGCTACCATGAGTATGCAGGGCAGTGCTCTGTCAGAGCCCGGTGAGCTCTGGCACCCAACTTTTGCTCTTTGGTGACTAGAAAATCTTTCTTCCTTCACACAATCATATACTGGTCTGGATACCCAAGAGTTTACATGTTCAGAGCACTGGGCTCCAACCACATGACTTGTGAATAACTGCCAGCAAATAATTGTCTGCTCATATGCTATGTTGTCTAACTGTGTTTGGCCGCAAACGATTTGCTCTTGCGTGAAAATGGCAGATCGCTTGGCTGACCTTTCAGAGTTGAAAAAACAAACTCAGAGATCAAATGATAAAACTATGCTATTGTTAAACTTGGTTATCACAAAATATTTTGATTTGTCAGCGTCTCAGAGATCAACTTTTTGCCTCAGCCTTCAGCTTTGGCAAATAATTGATCTCCTCACCACTGACAAATCCCAATACCATGCTCAACCTCATCCAGTAATTGTTAATTATTATTCATAAGTTAACAGTTATTGATTGTAGCAATAACAGATAATTCACAGTTTACTGCATACTTTTTAACCACTCAGAGATATTTGTGTCTTCATGTTTTAATCTTTCTCTCTCGGGATTGGCCAGAGCTTCTATAATACAATCTGTCTACAGATCAAGGAAATGAAACACTGCAACTACGTATTATAAAACAAATGGATAAACTGCTGACACTCCCTTCAGGGGTACCTCAAAAGATGGACACCCACCTAAAAACAGACACCTACAAATAGACTTTTTGTCCCTACCATTCTAATCGTCCGTCATTTTTTCTTGACATTCTACAGGGCAGACACGACTCTAAGAATTAGATGGACGTTTATATTAATTGCATTGTATAAGGCTACAATAGTATGTGCTGTCTGACTAGCTGCTGAGTTGGCAAGGTTTTCATCTTATGACCGGGCATTATGAAATTTTTTTTAAGTGGTTAAATTTAGCCACAATCTTGACGTAATAAAGACAAAAATTGTCTCATTGTCAAAGGAACTGTATCTTGTGGTATCGATCACATCACCACGTTTTGGTTCTGTGAACACGACCTTGAATGACCCTGTGTGCTTGCAAGGGGAAGTTGAAAATTACTTCCAGAGTATTGACCTCAGTCTGAGATTTCCCTGTAATGACCTCACTCTTGGTTGATAAGTGGTATTTAATGCCAGTCCTAATGATGTACATATTAGAGTCAACTGTATAATAAGTAGTAGGCGGTAGGTTTTTAAGCCCTAAAACAACAACAAGGATACAAGCTAACACATCATAGGCCAGAGGAGTAAGGTACTTTAGCGAGTCCACAACAGGGCCGATGAAGTTATCATACTTTTGAATCTGTGACAGGAGCTGAAACCAAAAAGATCAAACAAATTTAAGGGATCCTTTAGCCTGATGAACTGATCCTTCGTGGAGTAACTGCAGAATACCTGGCCAATCAAAAGCAACGTGACTATGCCACTAGTCAAAATTAAATTCAGGTTAAATTTTTTTAACCAAGGTTGATTCTCAATTTCTTTGTATCCTAGCCTTAAGTCATTAATAATTGGGGCTAAAAGACAAAGGAAATGGATAATCAACCTAGGTTGGAAAATTTTACCCTGATTTTAATTTTTACCTGTAACAGCTTTACCACTATGTGGCTTTAAGTGCTGTGGTGCCCTTAAAGAACAAAGCATATGGCTATGCAGCTTTGCAGCTACATGGCTGTTTGACTGCTACCAGCATAGAGGTATAGCTTTTGAGTGGTCAGGTATTCTGCAATTAAGCTGATCATACAAAACATAAAACTTGTGATGTATAAATTCCAAAGATGCTGCCCTGCTTTGTTTTCAACTTTAAGATGTGGCAGAACAACAAGTTTGATAACTCACATATTCAAACAAGATTCCTGGATTACTGTGGCTTAGTTTTCCGATCTGCCTTCCAGATGGTTTGACATTTTCCTTTGTTAGTCTCCTACAACACAAGAACAACAGTCACATCAACAGTGACAGCAATTACTAATGTTTTTCCACATTCTGAACCAAGAACTCTTACAAGTATGTAGTCAATATCCAGTAAACAAAACTTCACGCCAGAGGAATGTAGCACATTGCTTACCAGTAAATGTATTGGCAAAAAGTGATTTGAGGGCAGATTAAAGAGTTGATGCATGTTAATTTTCTGGTGGGTAAAGACTCTTCTTGAGTGCCTCTAAAATTTGTTTAAGTAAGTGAGTAATTGGTTCTCATAGAGCCAACTACAGTGCAGATGGTGATATGATTTTACTAACAGATCAGGAAAAAAAACAGCAATAGCTAGAACCAGAGGAAGTTAATATCGAAATAACATATAGTATATGTACTTAACTGGAAAAATGTTAAGTAGCCTCAGATGGAGCAAAACCACTATTTACAGCCCAGTGTGTTATTGTTCACACACTTGTAACAGGCAATGTCAGGCAATGTCAGACAAGGGAATTACCCATAAAGAAAGTTAAAAAACATACCAACTGATTATCCAGGCTGCAATAACTAAAACCATGGGTGCTGTTTAATTGAACACCAACTTACTTTGTGATGTATTTTGCTCTCTTTATTGTTGCAGCTTTGGCCAAAACCAGTCGAGGATGGCTGCTGTATGATTCATTCTTCCACTGACCATAAAGTCGATATCTAGTGAAACAAACACACCTTTGATACATGTTGCACTTCACTAATTTTTTATGCAAAATAATTTGCATCTTGAAACTATTAAACAATAAATTATACTATTGCCAGTAACATTTTGGACATGACGCTACAGCAACGAAAACGTTACTACTACTTAAGTTACACCTTTCATATGTAGGTGAAGGTATAGGATTTCATTCTACTGTAGTTGACTTCAGGTTGATGCAAACAACAATTTTATTACAGAATTAGACCTAAATCAATTAGTCAGTTATGGGACCATGAAGTTTCAATTTCTACAGATCTGAAATGTGGTACTCCTTATAAAGAACAGTAACTGCATATGTTTGTGGATGAACGAATGCAGTGGCAGTATTCTCCAGTCACAGCACGAGAGACCCACACTTGATATTGGAAGCTTGCAGCATGAACAGTTAATCAAATAAGCTGATTTCCTCTATGAGAGGAAAGCCAGCCCACCATTCACGCACATAACTACACTTCCATCAACTTAAAGAGAGTGTTTCAAGTTGAAATGATTTGTATGATTTACAGGGATAATCATATGTATTTCCTTGAGTAAGTGCCCGGGCGCTTATTTCAAATTTCAGCTAAAAGGATGGGCGCTTATTAGAAGGAGGGCACTTCATCAAGAGAGGCGCTTGTAATGTTTCCTTATAAACAAACTACTGAAAGGTCTAGTTGTTCCTGGAAAGTTTACAGCACTTACAAGGAGCACAGATAACAGGACAAAAATTAAAAGAAGAGATAACGCACATAATAGAACTCTGCAAGCGTGCACATTGATATACAAATAACTGCAAGCGAATTGAGAGAAAAGAAACTATTTTCTTTTACTGATTCTGCTGTGGTCAAAGCCTAAAAGGTTAAAAAATAGAGTGGCCATAGATGCTGGTTTTCCTTGTATCCCTACCTTTAAGAAAGGGAGGGGAAGAGGAGGGGGGGGCGCTCATCAGAAGAGGACACTTACTTGATATATTAGCCTTGGGGTGGGCACTTATTCAAGGAAATACTGTATACCATATAACATGAAAGGCATTGACGTTCTGTGATTGTTTCCTGAAAAAATTCCTCTTTCTTTATATTTGCAAAGCAGATTTGAATGAAACAATGGTAATAATACGCCTATAGCTGATGGTGTTGTGCATGGGTTGACTCACCTAAGCTCATAAGGAAAGCGGCACATCATGGCCCACAGTTCCTCTGCTAAACTAGAGTTACATTCCAGTAATGAAATTGAGGGCAGAAGAACTTCATCCACCAACGTTAGAAGACCACACCAAACTTTCTCAACCTGTAAAAAGATTATCATATTTTTTAGAACCGTGCATTAAAGGTGCAGGATATCTAAGGTCGAGCATCACAAGCACAGTAATGTGGACATAATACATATTTATCAAAGTCTTAAGCAGGAAAACACATGCTCATAAACAAAATTGCTACAAAAAAAGCAATAACAATTTATTGTTGGACATTGTCGAACTGAAATCTGCCCAAAGTCAAATGAAATCCTATCTGCTGTCATACATGATGACCAGACAAGAAAATGATAAGCCAATTTTTTAGCCCAACAACTTAACATGACAGCCCTTCAATGAATTTTCCTCTAGCACTACACTGTTAGGATAAACAATAGATAGCCTTAATTCTCGTTATAAGTACATCTGTAACACGAAAGAATGACATGTGTACCTGCAATGAACGCTGCTCCTTGTCTTCAAATACATTTGGATACTAATGACAAGAACAGAGACTCATCAGGATTTCACGTAAATGAGACTTAAGTCAGTATTTATGGTAAGTTATTCCTCATCAGTCAAACTTGTTTTCATGACTATCAAAGATTTTGATTAAACATCATTTGAGGACACTAAGTCAAAATCACTGTAACATCATTATCTACTCAATATGGACCAGAAAAACCTCGCTCATAGAATTTTTTCAAGAGTTTTTTCCTCGTTAGGGTGTGTCATAGATGTAATTTAACCCTGATTAGTAACCTCTGTGAAGCAGTGGCGAGATCCTTGTTCTGGGCTTCCAACGAACTCAACAAAATTAATGTGGGTTCAAAATTCCCTTCACACCGATTGGAAAATTGACAATGGCTGGCATGGCACATACTCAAATCCTAGTACTAGTACATAGGTGAGGACCCAGAATAAAGATTTCAGTGCTGTTTCACAGAAGTTACTAAAAAAATCAAGGTTTAGTGCCATTAGTGGCACAGGCTATTTCCTCGTTGAATCTTTAAAAAGCCATTAAACTAAAAATTGCCTTACGTCTTTCATGAAGCCTTTACTAATCCGAAGAATCTTAGCCATGAGGATAGGATCGCTTGACAGATGAGGGCCAAGATGAATCAGCATTGGAAATACACAGTGTGGCAAATCAGTAAAGGCTTTACACTGAGGTGGCCCCCCCGGGACTGGAGCATAGGGGCGTCCACGGGCTGCCTTTGAAGAATGCCTAAAAAACGGTGAAATACATACAATCATGGACAAAAAGTCTTGGCACAAATTTTGTTGTGTGCTTTTTGTAGACTACACCTACCCATTCTTGCCGCACCACATACATTAAGTAAGGGGAGGGAAAAGTCTGTTGTCAAACACTAGCTAGCAATGCTAATTTATAGACAAATGTAGAGAGCACAAAAGCGTTGAACTTATGAAACCCTTAGAAAAGGGGTGCTCAGTCTCCCAAAAAAAATTTTTTTGGCCCTCTGGGCCTCAGTTTGGTCTAAAAATAAGGAGGGCCCCGGGCTCCCTGCGCTCCTCTCCTGGATCCGCCACTGCAAGGTGCCTGTTGCACAATGGAGAAAGTACCGGTAAATCACAGGGAGGGTGGGGAGGGGTCACAAGGCACTACAAGAGCACAGCTCTTCTTCCCTAACACTTCCATTAACTAAGTTCTGCCCAGTGCAAAATAAAATATACACGAAACAACTACTGATATCATACAACGCTATAAAATTTTCCATGCCACATTTTATTATTTTCCATCTATAAATTATGCTACTTGAACCACAATTTCTTGTTGACCTTTAAACTGCAAAATATTAAAGATTAACACTAAAGATTGAACTTCTAAGTAAATACAAAAACACGGAGAGCCTAATCTCCCATAAGCTCCTATCATTACAGTTAGGTCCCCTCACTTCACCACTTCTTTTTCCTACTATTATTTTACTATTAATTTATTATATTATTTGTAATTTTTTTGTGTGTGTTGCAAATTAAAAAAATAGATAAATAAAATAAAACAATATGACAAAACAACTAACCTGCGGTAGAGTGGTTCAATTGTGGTATGGATCAACTTGCACAATGCTTTGGATATAGGAGGATGTGACACAGCAGCAAACTGTGGTAGTCTTTCAAGTACTGAGCGAGCTTGATCCCACCCTCCTACCATCAATAGTGCTTCACATACACCAAATTTCTGATTATCTGGTGCCTGCAGAAAAAAAATGCAAAGCATTAACAATTTAGGTAAGTTAGTTTGATCAAGCACCAGCTCTCCAGCTCTCTCTGGCTCTCCAGCCACTTTGGTCTAGCATTACCATTATGAGTTCTCCGATACTGGTGAACCCAGTGTCTTCAAGCAAAGTGTGACTGTATGTATGTGGTCTTAGGTCTTCCTCTCTTAGTTTGTCTGTGTTGTGGCTGCCACAACACAAGCTTTGATGCTTCCTCAAGGCTGTGCTCTAGCAGAGCCCAGTGGCCTTGGCACCTAACTTTTGTTCTCCAGTGACTAGAAAATCTTTGCTTTTTCATAGAAATCATATGCTGGGCACCCTGGATTTCACAAGTTCAGAGCACTGGGCTCCCTTCAATTTTTGTTAGAGCACAGCCTTGCTCCTCCTCCTTGTGTCTAACAAAATGCCCAGCTACCCTCATTCTTCTTTCCCTGATCTTACAAGAAACTTTTGGGAGGTGACCATACAGATCTTCATTTGTAATGTGATTCGTCTAAGAAATGTCTAGTGCTGTGCAAAGCATTCTAGAATAGGCACCATCAACTTTCAGGGAAAAAGTTTTAGAATTAACAGTGCCAATTTCGATCCTTGTGGCTAGTGCCTGAATTGCAGACAAACCAGAGAGATGATAACGGAACAGCGCATATAAACTTTAATGTGCGCTGTGCTGTTTCTTCAGTCTTATGATGAAGACTTAGACGACCAAGGCCATAAATTTATTATCAAGCCAGTGAAGGTACTTACAATTTGTGGCTTATCATTTTCTTTACTGTTTTCTTTGTTACTTTCTTCATTGTTTGCAGCAGCAATTTCCTTTCAGACAACAAATGGACAGATGTTAGAGTGTTAGAAAGGCTAAATCATCAGATATCAGTTACAATGTACAGTACCTCTATTCAAGAACAAAGTCATCTAGGGCAGAAAAACCATACTGTCACTTTAATCCTCATCAGCTGAAATCGTTTTCAGGGTCTCAAACAGCGTGCAAAGAAAGTAGTGTCCGATAGCCCGGGGATAGTGGATTTTGCTATCGGGCTAGTGAATTCTGTCGTTCACTTGCCCAACAGGCAAGTGATGTTTCTTGAGCAATTTGAATAACAGAAGAACTATGAAATCAATTCTACTTGTCAAAAAGCATCTGAGGCTAGTTGAAATGACGTCTGCACTAGTAAATGCTAGCTTAAGCTTGCCCAAATGGCAAGCTGTAAAAATGACTTTCTTTGCAACCCGTCAAAGATTTTGATTTAAACCACCATTTGAGGATAAAAAAAAAATTATATATTTTCTACAGTTATTGATGGGAATTGGCTTTTGGCATGTCCCGACTTCACTCCTTCTAGAGGTCAATATCAAGCAACATTCAAGACTAACTTTCCACTGTCTGTAAACTTACAGCCAACACTGCCATATTCATTTTTCTTGCTTCTTGCTTTGCCTCATCCATTTTTGTTGTATTACTTGTAGCTATGTCTGCATCTGATGGACTCAGCTGGAAAACAAACATGTACAGGGTGTCTCATAAGCAGGAAAAATGGATGTACATAAAAAGGCAAAAATTAAGCAAAAAATTACTGAACAAAAATATGGTACAGTTACAAGACTGTAAACATGGAGAAAGTTAAGCTACAGTACCTCATTTTACAACTGTTTCTAACCCTTTAACCCCTAGACTAATTAGTTATGACAAGATTTTTCTAAGGCAGCTTTTAAATCTGTGGACAAAATCCTTTGGTGTTACCATTCAATTGAAAACTCTTTGGCAGAACTTTTGCGTAGTGTGATTTATTTCTACAGATTTTATAACAAGAAATTTAAATTTATTTGAGGCACTATAAGGAATAAAAGGGTGAATAACATGGCTTTACTCACATAAAGATACAAATCATCCAGGGATAGCAGAGAATGCTTCATAAGCAATGCTGTTAAATGATAAAGTGATGGAGGAGTAGGCAAATCTGGTTGATCCTTGAAAAGAAAAGAAAAATTGGTAAACAGACACAAGCCTTGATTTCATACATCTGGAAGATCCCAGGTGATCAGGGATTTTAGTGTTTCCTAATCATCCCAGATATTTTTTTCTTTTCTTTTCCTTTTTTACGTATAAATGTGCTGGACAAAATTAGCATTGAACCATAAGTCAACGCTATGACTGCAGTTTTGGTCATTTAAAAAAACACTTGGCAAGTAAAACTGGTGTGAGAGTTTCTAAATTAGCGACAACAGACATTACTGTTCAGTGATCAAGTGGCAAGCCATAGGGTCTTAATTAGTTGTATTGACGATCTTTATGAAGTTCATTAAGTGAAATACAAATTAGCAAGAAATATAATGAGGTATCTGAATTAAGCAGGTGTCTACAAAGCAGGGTTTAACTGTACTTCAAAAGGGAGATTTAAAAATAGTTGGGCTTGGAGCACTGAAGTGCCTTATATTTTGACAAAACGCGGTCCACATACCTTGTAAAACTGGAATTTGAATCCCATTATATGGCAGAGAGCAGTGGATTCACATTTTTCCATGTAGGATTTTAAAAGCGGAAGAAAAAAGTCCTCTAAATCTATGCGGCATTCAAATGAATCAAGAAGTACATCAAGAGTTTTGTTGGGATCCAAGTTAAAACGACCTGTGGATAAAAAGTATACATTTATTTCTTGAGACTATATTTTGACAATCAACTCTGAGACAGACACTGGTGGTGTTGCTACTAACTGTTCATCTCAGAAATGTTCCAGATTGTAAAGAGTGAAGGAAAATGACTGGACGGTAAGGGCTACTTCTGAGCAGGGCTATGCTCTAGCAGAGCCCGGTGGCCCCTGGTGCCCAACTTTTGCTCCTGGGCGACTAGAAAATCTCAGATTTTTCATACAAATCATATGCTGGGCACTTGATCTAGATTTTACAGGTTCAGAGCACTGGGCACCCTTCAATTTTCCTTAGAGCTCAGCCCTGCTAAGTGTCAATTTTAGGGAGGTATCAGTCTAACAGGGGTATTAGTACACCCTCAAAACCCTGACCAGCATCTTATTTCTCCTTAATTTATCAATGTTTTATCCAACATAGAGGTCAATGAGAATATGGGAAATGATCACTACAAAAAGAAAGTCTTGATTGTTGTACAACTTGTCTTCATCAACAACACAGGAACTGTATGGGGAAAATGCATCTTGATATCATAGCATTTCTTCCATCTTTCTCTCCTACTGCCTACTTTCAGACTATTCACATCAGACTGTGGGTGAATAATTAACAATTAGGAATTAAAAATTAGGAATATTTACCTCAATTTCGAAGAATAATTATCATTCTTCCAAATCAAGGTAATTATTCCTAAAGTCAATGGAATTCGTCATTCTTACCAATCAAAGATTTAATATTCTCCAGTACTCTGGCACTGGTAACATGTCGGCTTATCTCCTGACCCAACTCTGTGACCAGTTTGGCATATCCCTCACTCTCCTCTCTCAAAAGATTAAACTTCTGTTGCTTGTAGCTACAGCAAAAGCAAGGTGCAGTTTATTTATCAGTATTCAAAAGTTAAGTCTTGAAAATCCTATCTCAACAAGTCAATAACAGCGTAGAGTACTGAGCAACCTGCATCGCTGACTGATAAATCATCTTTCTCATGTATTCACTATACAATTCCTTGTAAATTCTGAAATTTATAAACTGTTGTTAAATCCTTCCCTTATGCATTTAACAGCTAAAATTGCTTGTTATGAATTAAAAGGAGATTTCAGCCAAGTAATGCTTAAGGAAAACTTTCATGACAGTTTGAAAATTTCGAAATTTACTAGTATGGAAAACCATTCAAGCGTGACTGGGAGGCATAAGTCTGATCATGTGATCAACCAATGCAAAAGGTCTTTTAATGGCAACTGAGAGTTTCATGAGGCTGAAAAAAATTTAGAAGCAGCCAAACAGACAACAAGACGAATAGCTCAGATTTGTTTTCCTTTCACCTTCAAAATGATGACAAAAGGTTGGCTGTAATTAAAGTTAAGAAATATCAAGAAAATATACACACAAAAGCTTAGTCTTGGTCCTGACATATTTCTGATTAAAGGCTTTCTGAGACTGTATTATTCCCAGGGTGTCCAGCGTCTCCACATCCAGGCGTTCCTTGAGAAGAGCTTCTGGAACAACTCCCTGAAAAAAGTGGGATCAATTCAGATTTCTAGGAAACTGCCCAGCTACCCGTCTCCTAAGCAAACATTGTGCCCTAAGTGAGAAGTGAGTCTTAATGTTGGCTTGAGGGAGGGGTAGGTGGACAGTTTCCCAGAAACCTAGACTGATCTGAAAAGTGCATGTAAGTAATGTTACAAACATGATTTTTTCAAACCTTTCAATAATGAAATCAACTAATTCAGGGGTCATATTTATTATGACAGCCTATAGTACTATACATTCAAGAAAAGTTTGCACATTAAAATAATTGTTATTTAGCAGAAGTTTTCCGTTCTGTTGCTTATTATTATGCTCCACATCGAGTTTGACTTATTACCAGTGTGTGATGATTCAAGTAAAAGATGGTCAACATTTTGTTTTTGAAACAACACTTAGCAAATTCTTGATATCACTTTACTTTGCTCCTACGAACATCTCTTCTAACAATGAGGTGATTAAACGCCTGGATTCCATGGTTCATATAACAACATAATAATGACAAATATAGAAGTATGTCTTGGCGACATAAATTCTATACTGATGACATAAATCAATGTTTACATAATCCGGTAATCATGGGGTATTGAATGTAAATTTATCTAATTGATGTTTCTCCTGTTCGATTATGGTAAAGTTTTGTCTTCTTTTGCAAATGATCTCTAGAAAAACTCAAATGCTTTTTCTAAAGAAGAATATATTCCACAAATATTGACTGTTTTTTTAGCAGATTCATCACATTTACATTTGACATTTCAACGTGCAAAGAAAGTAGTGTCCGATAGCCCGGGGCTAGTGGATTTTGCTATCAGGCTACTAAATTCTGTTATTAACTTGCCGAACGGGCAAGTAAATTTTTTTGAGGAATTCAGATTACAGAAGAACTGTGAAATCAATCTGCTCATCAAAACGTTTTTTGGGCTAGTTGAAATGACATTTGGGCTAGTAAATGTTAGCTTCAGCTTGCCCGAATGACAAGTTGTAAAGATGACTTACTTTGCACCCTGACATTAATAACCATGTCTTTTGTCTGTCATTCATAAACAATAGCTAAAATAGTATGACTACTACATCAACCAATCGCAGCTCCTGACCAGATTCCAGACAGATTTTACGTCATCAGCATAGAATTTCTGTTGCTGAGGCACACACGTCTCTCTTGGCAAAACATCCTTAGCAGAGACGAGCAAGGAGAGACCGGCTGTATTCACAGGCTAGCCTACTCTTGGAACCAACTATACAATTTTAAAAGTTATGTGTCAAAAGAAACAGATACCTACCACTGAAGCTGCCACCAGGGACAAGAACCTTTCTCTGTTTGGCTTGTCCTCCTCACATTGACTTTCGACATCTGTAGGATTATGAAGACACCAAATGGAACCATAGGGTACATAGAGGGGAGCAGAAACACAGCAAACACAATCACGAAAACACTGCAGTCTGAAGCAGGTCTACATAACAATAAAACAAATTTTTAAGTAACAGCAATAATTGGATAGAGCTTGTGTACCCAAGATGCAAATCAGGTCAGCCAGCAATGAAGCGCTTCCTGGATGGAGTTCCTTTAAAAAAGAAAACAGAAGATATGTTTGCATTTAATTTACTTTTTCAAGGCTCTGGGATTTAGATCAGGCAAATATTCAGGAATAGGATCATACAGGGCTGTGCTTAAGATTTTTGTTAGCCAACTCCCCATGGCCTGTAGCATTCTGTTTGGTTCATGAAAAGTTCTAAGCACTATCTGGAGCTCAAAATGGAAACAATTCAAGTCAGCTAATTTTGTTGTTGTTTTTGTTACAGTATATTTAATCAACATATCCATCTGTGCTTGTTCCGTCACTTGCTTCCGTTTATAATAAA